TTAAATTTTAATAATATAATATAAAAACAAGGGCGGCGCATGCCAACATTTTGTATCGTATGCATTAGCAATATTTATTATGTCAAATATTTAATGTGGCAGAACAAAACTTCAAAATACAGTTTTTTAATCTGAAATTTAATGATTTGTTAATTTATATAATTATTTTTAATAATATTTAATAGATTTGATATTTAAATTTCAATATATATAATTTTTTTTTATTTTTAAATTATGATTTTTTATATAAAAAATATATTGCCTTGTTTCATCACAATCAAATAGTTTAGAACAATTTTTTTTTCGTTAATATGAACTCAACCCAGTTTTCCTTTTTTTTTTTAAAGGAATATTTTCACAATCAAACGAAGAATTAATGTAATCACTTGTACAATTTCATCTGCAAAAGAGAGTTTGATGATCATTGTTAGGTGTTTATGTGAGACAGACGGGTTTACAGACAAAGAGGTGACAATCTGTTGTGGTGCGATCCCTCCGATGCTATGCGCTGATTTCAATCTTTATTCATCTTCCGGCAGCAGTTCAAAAGTAAGGGAACGTCAAAATAGGGCTAAAAGATTAAAATATTTTGAATTTGTGGCCATTGACAAAAATATAATTTTGAGTTTATCCTTCTTTAAATTAACTTTTTTTTTTTATTGTTTTAATCTTGATTTTGAAAATTTTGTTGGACGAATCATGACAATTGAGATAATTTCAAAATGAGATAAAAAATAAAAATATTTTGAATTTGTTTCAAGCCATACTATGCAACTTGAATCAATTTTTTGTTTGAGGTGTGTATCGTAACGTTGATCAGGTCGGGTTAAATTGGATTTTAAAATGCTTTTTCAAGGTTGGCTTAATCCGTCCATTAAAATTCATAAGTTCATTTTTATTTAAATTTATTTAATTAAAAAATATAAAATAATTTTATGTTAATATATTCATATTTACTTTAATTAAAATAATGAAAATTAATTATTTACTAATGAAATATATTCGCAGGTCGAGCTACTTTAGAATTCCTGTTCAGGGTTTGGCATGAGGTGAGCTTGGCAGTTAGTACGTCCGTGAATTAATCTAATTTTCTTGTACTTAGTTTAATATTGATTTGGATATTGAACATATGTAATATTTGATTTATTTTTTGTCTTTAAATTTAAAAATCAAATTTATTTGAATAAAAAATTTTAGTTCAATTTTACATAAATTAAAACATTTATTTTATTTATAAAATAATTTAAATAAATTAAAAATCATACGAGTTAATAAAAAATTTATCCAAAACCGAACTACTTATAGCCATGAGAAAGAGAAAAAAGTTAAAGAGAGGGTTATCAATGAATCAGTCAAATTCAAGGACAAATCCTTGTTCCGAGGGATTTTTTTTTATTATAAAAGTAAAATTATTTTTTATTTTAAAAGTATGGCTCACAATTGGATTAAAGATATTTTAATAATTTAATTTGAATTGACGTGTATAAATATCCTTTACTCTTCTAGGTAAAAAAAAGGGTTAATTCTTTTTTCAATTCTCTTTTTTTTTTCTTTGAGCTTTTTATCTCAACTCTTTCATGTATCTCTGAGTTTTCTTTGAGCTTTTCTCCCTAATTCGAATTTAACACGAACACTGCCTAATTTGGATCATAGTTTTTTTTTTTTTTATTCATTGATGGCCAGATTCGACCGTGCAAGAAAAATCAATTCTGATGAGATTAGGACCAAATATGGTATTAATAAGCTATATATTAATACATTTTTTTCAATAAAAATATATTAATTTTAATTAATTTAAAATAATAATTTATATTATTTAATAAAAAAATTATATTAACTTTTACCTTTGATAAGAGATGTATTATATTATTCATCTTTATCTCTGTAATTATAAAAATTTAAAATTATACTCATCTTTATTTTTATATTTATAATGTAATATTTATTTTTATTTTTATTTAAATAAAAAATTAAAATTTTTATTGAATATAGATAAAATTGGTATCAGTTTGATGTGTGCTTCGTAACTGCAAATTGTCAACGTTAGGCAGTTTAATTTTTTTTTTTAACAACTTTTATTGGTAAATGAGTGACCACAACTTGTGAAAGCAGGGATGGAGACTGGTAAAATAAGGAAACAAAATTGTTTTAAAACATCGGCCTCCAATCCAGGCTAAGATCTTCAAATAGAGACACCAATGACAATGGCAACAAAGAGCAAGGGGGTTTGTCAATTGTTTGTCACTGTATGATTGGAGAAGCATCACTGAGCTGGCGCCCATTCTCTGCGGTGGACGCATGATTGAAGAAGCGGCAGCACCTAAGCCGCAAACACTAAAATTTAATCCAAAATCTTTTTTATTTTTATAGTTTGACTGTTATATTTCTGCCCTTAATCTTCCAATCTTTTAAAAATTTTTTGTTATCATCAATCTAACTGTTAAAAACGCCATGAACTCACCACTTTTGACAGGTATAAAGTGTAACTTTTAGCCCGTAAGTTTACACAAGAATTAATGGTTAGGTTGACGAAATGGATTTGAATTATAATGAGGGATAATTTACTAGACAAGTGGCTAATCGAGGGCTTTAATTGTCTGATACCAAGTGCATTGATCCAAAACGCAACACTGATATTGTTGACATGCATAGAAAAGAAAATTTTCACATCCTCATAACACTGTATATATGACAATTCCAATGGACAATGAATAATGTAAGATAAGGTACGATGTATTGAAAACGTTTTGTTAAATATTTGACCAATTCGTGAAACTACTTATGAAAGTTATACTAAATTAACCATGGCTATAAGCGAAATAAATACAAATGGCTAGGTATTGACCTTCTGCCTTGAAGTGCAGCTGCCAATTTGGTCTGGGGATGCTCTTTACTCTCATTCAAGCTGGTTTTTGTACTTTTACTTGCTTCAAGCCATTCGACAAAATTCAGACCAGGAAAAAGAACAAAGGGGTAGACTTCCACTCACCACTTTTTATTATTTTTTCCTCCCAAACAATGTATTCTGTAAGGGAACAAATGCAAGATGCAAAACTGAAGGTCAGGAAGTGAAAAGGTTATCTCAACTTCAAGGGATTTGTTTTTGATGTATTTCAATTTTATTGATTTTTTTATTATATTTTTAAGTTATTAATTTGTAGATAAAAATAATGAAATTAAAATATTTTACGAAATATTTTATTAATTAAGTGATAAATTTTCGTCAATTTTTTATCTAAAAATCAACATAATAAAAAAATATAATGACAAAATTAAATTAAATTAAAGTATAATAGAAAAATCCAAAATTTATTCGTACAATGATGACAAATTTGATCTTAATTCCTAACTTCACCAATAAAAGAAAAACCCATTTGCTTCCAAATCAATCCCATTAAATTAATATCCATATCAGTAATCTACTTTATGTAAATTTGTCTAATTATTTCAACAACTTCTTCACCAACTTAGAATTCAGGTTTTAAATGACTTAAACCTGTATTATTAATTATACCTTAAATTAATTAATCTTGTGGAAGAAATTGGCTTTAATTCTTGACAAATTAAGTGCATGACAATTAATAGCTTAGGGACCATTGACTAAGATAATATCTTTGGAGACTGGGGTGTTCATCGTTTGCTTATACTTTCATCTTTCTCAATGTAGCTGTCACTCTTTGTCTGTTTTTGAAATTCATGAAGCTGCTTGGTCGAGGATGCATGGGATACTCAACATGCCCATATACTTTAAGCAAAAGTGACAAATATTCGGATACTATGACTTAGAGAGAGCGAGCTCTCATTTCAATGAACCAAAATTCTTTGGCTGCTTCCATCTTCCATCAACGTAGTCGATTTAACATTGCCATATACAATAAACAAAACCAGTAGTTGAATCATATGCTTTCCAAATGTTGACATGTTAATTAATCCGAATTTAAAAGTGAACTGATAAAAAAATTAATTTTTTGCAATTAATACTACAAATTAAAAAATATATATTTGACTTCAAATTTAATTTAACTAATTTATACAAGTAAAATCATATTTAAAATGTAATATTTAATAAATTTAAAATTTAAATCTCAATATTTATAATTTTTTTTATCTTTTTTATAGGTATATATATTTAATGTCTCATATTCAAACATTTAGAATTATTTTAGCATTTCTCTTTCAAATTTGGGATACATTACGAGTTGTCAGTCACTGTCCAAAGTAACTTTGCTATCCAAATTTCTCTATATTCTGATCATATCATCATAGAGGGGACAATTATTTACTTGCTGAAGCAAAACTTGGAAAAGGAAAATTGATGCAACCTTTGGTTGTAAATATTCTGATTGACTGTAGTATTTCTTTCCTTTCTCTACTTTTTGTAACGCATGAAAACCAGAAGATCATTTCGTAGGACTGAGACATCAAAAGCAGATAATGAAGACTTTCTTTCTCCTGAAATGGGTGTTTGATTCCGTCAGTGACTTCACTTTAGACGGCACCTAAAAGCAAGTACCAAAATCCATGAGAAAGGTTAGGGAAAAGCTGTCAGTCCCTAGGCCCTGGGGTCCAGGAACATCCACATTTTGTCCCCCTTTTTTTTTTTTTTTTTTTCCAGTATATCCGAATTCTATGGTTACTCTAACTCTTTCACTCTTTTCAAGTACTTAAAAATTTAGATGTGATAATTTAAAATATGAATATAATTTATATCTCTTTCTCTATTTTTTGTGAGTTTGGAAAGTTCACTAGTCTTTTGTTTTGTCTTACCGCAGAAGAGAGGAGAGGTTGATATGAATCAGGAATCAAGCTATCAGATGAGAATAGTAGGAATGGAATTGAAGTGCCTGCCAAAGGATGGGGTTCGGAAACGATAAAAACAAAGGTACTGGGGTTGATTATATACGGTATCTTTACCACTATTTTTTAAGTTTTAAAGAATTAAATTGGCATTGGGGTTGATGCATCCCTTTTGGTCAACCCTGAAAAGCCCTTGTATTTGATGATTTCATGACAAAAATCACCTTACTAAGAATTGTGAACCATATATTGATAAGGGAAATGATATTTTTATTTTCCAGCATGAAAGTGATTGAATGTGCAGCATTCACGCAATGAGATCTAATCTCATTTATGTTCGACACTGCTGGGTAGATTTATTATTGGTTCCTAATTTTTGAAATTCACCCTCTGGCACCATTTATGTCTACACTTAAAAACACATTCAAGTCTTCTGCTTCCCTATCTCTCTCTCACCTTCTGGTTTCTACTCCTCTCTCTCCCTCACTCCCTCTCTTCCTTTTGACTTGCAGCTTCTGATGCAGTAAAAGGAAACAAATGTCAGCAAATCCTACAAACTCACATGATACTTAGCTTAAAGTTTAATTTTTTTTCTATTGTTATAGGCATTAAGGGTGGTTTTTTTTTGGTAGTCCCAGATGGGATCCCTGCTAGCATATGATTCCAGCCTAAAGTTTCAATCTTGGTAAGTTCTGTCAATCCCTCTCTCTAGAAACACAATGGACAGGATTTTCCATGAAATCAAGCAAAGAAGCTTGCTTTCTCCGTCAGAGCAGCCATATTACTTCCCTCAATCACCAGCATTACTGCCTGCACCGCAAAATTTGCAATCTGATAGTTTCAATTTGAATAACAAGGTTAGTCCAAGTATATTACTCGTCATTATAATCCTAGCTACCATTTTCTTTGTTTCTGGTTTGCTTCACCTTTTAGTTAGATTTCTTTGGAGAACTCCCAATAGAGCCCCGGAAGATATAGACAACGTGACTGCTCGTCAAGGGCAGTTGCAACAACTATTCCATCTCCATGATGCTGGCGTTGATCAATCTTTTATAGATACTCTCCCTGTTTTTCACTACAAAGCCATTATAGGAGTAAAGAACCCATTTGATTGTGCTATTTGCCTGTGTGAATTTGAGCCTGAAGACAAGCTTAGGTTGCTACCAAAATGCAGCCATGCCTTCCACATGGAGTGTATTGACACTTGGCTTTTGTCTCATTCCACATGTCCTTTATGTAGAGCTAGCTTACTCCCTGATTTCTCTCCAAATAATAGTTCACCCATTGTTCTTGTTCTTGAATCTGGGAGTGAGAGCTCAAGAGAGATTTTCACTGATAGAGAAGGTGTTCTAGGCAGAACCAGCTCAGTTCTGAGATCAAATTCCCATCTGGGTCTTTGTGGAGACACTGAATTGGGGTCATCCCAGCGTAAATCATGTGAAATCCTGGAAAAAGAGGAAGCCAACCCAACAGTAGTGGGGGATTCTGGGGAAAAAGTTGTGCCTGTTAGGCTAGGAAAGTTTAGGAATGTTGATGTCGGTGAAGGTAGCAGTAGTAATAATGTGGATGCTAGGAGGTGTTTCTCTATGGGGTCTTTTGAGTATGTAATGGATGAGAATTCTTTCTTGCAAGTGCCAATAAGAACCCCTATGAAGAAACCATCAAGCAAGAAGACTTCTTTGCCATTGACACCTGGTCACTTCCCAGCAATGTCTGAATGTGATTGTGAATCAAGAAGAGGGTTCAATGGTTTTGAAATTATGAGAAACTTTGAAACTAATGGGAGTTCTAGCACTAGTGACAACAATTGCAAGGCCATTGGTAAGCGCAAGAAAGAAAGCTTCTCAATATCGAAAATTTGGCTTCACGGGAAGAAGGACAAGCAAAATTTTGCAGAGAACTCAACAAGGAGGGCCTTTTCATTTCGGTTTCCGCTGCATCAGAATGTTGCTGCTTCTGCTGCTACTGATGATAGCAAGAAGGTGAAGAATGGTATTGCTGGTGCCAGGGATACTGTTTCTGAGATAGACTCGGGCAGTTGGGGTAATGCAGGGAGTGAATTTGGTTGTGATGAGGAAAATCAGAGCTGCTATAGCTTAGATTCACAAGCTAAAACACCATCTTTTGCAAGGAGGACTCTGCTTTGGCTAGCTGGGAAACAAAACAAGGTTGTTCACTCATCCTTTACACCAAAGATCTAGTTTCTTATTTCTTCCCTTGCATTCTTTTTCTAGAAAAAGTGCTCTTTGATTCCTTCATTTGGAAGGCAAAATTGGCTGATCCTGTAGTAGGAAAAAGAAAGAAAAAAGTAAGAAGAGGAACAGAAAAAAAGGGTTCTATTGAAAGAAATTCCGGCATAAATTTTTTGTTGTCCAAATTGATCATTTCTTCATAGTTTGACTGCTTTCTTTTGTCTGTTTCAAGGTCTGCTAGGGTTTTCATTTTCTTCTGGGTTCCAGATAGGAAACAGAAATTATTGTTCTTGAAATAACAAAATTGACTTGTCTTGGAACAAATTTGGTATTGTGTTATTGGATTTTTTTTCAAAGGAACTCTGTAATTGGACCGACATTTTCTTTTTCCTATACTATTTTCTTTGTGGGGTTCGGTTCCTGGAGATTAAATCATTGTATTTCCTATTCTGTCACGGGTAGTTGTGGAGAATGAGTAGCTTCAGATTTTTTTTTTTTTTATGGTGCTGATAAATTAGTTTTGGACATATGTTTTTTTTTTTTTTTTTTTTTAATAATTTAGCTGTAGGAGGTTTCCTAGCTTTATTCAGTACATTTTCTCTTCTAGTCGGTCCAAGCATATTTATTTATGTCAAATTTAAAGAATTTATGAGACATTATCTTCCCAAGTATATGGTCCATATGTTCATGTTCATGGATGTCATTTTTAGGCTACTTCTCTTTTTCTTTGTTTTTCCTTATAGCCTAAGATATTACCAGCATAATGCCATAAACCTAGATTGTCTATTCATACCACTATATATTTCTTCAACCACCGGAATTAAGCCCCAATGTGAAATCTAGTTTTTATTCTTAGTAACCTTCCTTTAATGCTGAATGCAACCTGTAATCTAATCTCAAAGGCGAAAAAGCATGCGCTTGGGGACGGGGCAGCTGCATACTTCTTTGAATAATCAATTCCTTTCTTTTTCCGGTTTGTTGTTAGGTAACGGCCATCAGTGGCCAATTGGCCATCAGATTATGTGAAAATGAAATTAATAAGACTTGACAACTTTTAAATGGTTTGAACTTTGAATTTGCGTCAGTCAAAGAGAAAATAGGAAAGCAAAAAAGAAAAAAAATCTATCCATTTTCTCATTCATATAGCTGAATGAAGAAGATGTTTATATTCGTGCCATAATGATTTATAAATTTTGAAATTTAAATATAAATTTATTGAATATTATATTTTAAAAATAATTGTACGAAACAATTAAATTAAATCTTTGATTCATAATTTTTTATTATTCAACATGATTATTTTCTTAAAAAAATCAGATTTAAGTTTGGAAGGATAGTTCTAATAAGGAAACAAGAAAAAAAAAGGATCAAAATTAAGGTAGAGCCAAACGAATATGAAAGCATAGCAGTAGAAATTTGCCAAGACTTCTTACAGGCTGTTGCATTTAATATAGGCAAAAAAAAATAAAACTCGCCAGCTAAAGATTGCAGCGATCGAGGGAAAGTAAACATTAATGGCTGGCGTTAAAAAGGTCAGGGAAGCCGTTGGAGGGGCATTTTCTAGCATTTTTAGGACACCTAACACCTTTCCTTGTGAAATGTCTTATTGTACAACTGTGGATTCTATCGAGTCATTGCATCCATAAATTTGCCAGACTGTTATATAATTCCAATCCAAAATAAGGTGGGAGAAACGTTCATATAGTAATTAGCCCAAAAATAAAGAAACCAGCCCAAAAATGTCTCTCGTATTTCTCAAAAATCAATGTTGTTGCGATTTTGCCTTTTTGAGTTTTGGTCGTATAAATCCAACTTTGGAGATTCGCATTTGGGCTTAAGCATGTACAAAATCCAGGATTGTTGCATCAAGATTCAAGATCCTGTGAGTAACGTGAATTGGTCCAAAAAATAAACCCATTGCCTTGCTTTTTGTTTTTGTTTTTATTTTTTTTATAAAATTATAAATATAAAACAAATTACAATTATAATTAAATAGTATATTATATAAAAATCATTGAATTAAATCAATCAAACCAACAAATTAACACATAATTGAATAAATTTAGCATAAAATAAAATAAAATTTACATGCAATTAAACTTGAACTTAAAAATTCTAAAAGTTCTTGTTGAATAATGTGATTATGTTTTGTGTAAGACTTTTTGAATTTAATATTTATAAAAGGATAAAATTTATCACTTAATTTGAGGTGATAAATTAAAGTTATTATTGTCATTTTATATATAATTGTTAATTATTATTTATATACTCGTGTAGATATTTTATTTTGTCCAGATATTTGAATATTATTAGACTTAAAATTTGATATTAGGCTTTAAATTATAAAATTAGATTTTAAACTCAAATTAAAGGATCCAAAAGAGTTTTTATTCATTTTATTTTTATTTTTATTTATTTTTATTAAGTCAAAGTCAAAAAAATAGAAAAAAAGAGAGAAGAATCGAAAAAAACGTGATAAAAATTTTGGAAAGATCGGATTTGTGAAATTTTCTTGAAGATCTAAGAATCATGGAAAACTTGAATTTGGAATACTTAGGTGTCAATCTAGTGCAAGAAGGAAAGGTGATCTTTAATAAAATCAAATCGAAATCTTGAAAGATTCAATTGCATTAAAATTTCCACAAATTATAGGTCTTAAGTCATCATAAAAGGAGACCCAGTTTAAAGGTTCGAGGGACGAAGTAGTTTAGAAATCGAGCAACAAGAACCAGGGGATCAATCATAGAAGAGAGCAACCGAGCTTTAAAAAGGAAATCTAAATCTCGAAACAACCCAGAAAAGAAAGGTGAAGGCAACACAGTAACAACATAGGGAAGCCAAAAATCGAAACACAAGTAAGAAGGAAGCAATCAGAGACAATTCATACAATACGAATGAGGCAATATAGCAATTCTAGCAGGAAGTCCAAAATCAATAAGAATCAATTGCACAGTGGATACATAACAATCTCTACGGAGACTTGCACTCAATTTGTGATGAGTTATCTACTTTGAATTAAAAGTTTCATGATTTTATTTCACAAAAATTGTTTTATAAGTATTTATTTAAATTTTTACTTATATATTATAACAAATCCTTATAGTATCCCAATATCAGATTTAAGTGTAAGAATCTCTCTTTATTTAAGCTTGACATCTCGTCAAACCTACTCAAAGTATATGCAGAAACATAGAATCATGCAAATAAAATCATAGAATTAAAATTACGTTAGATATTGTGATTTTAGAATTAGTTTTGATAGTGTAGTATTTAACTATTGTATGATTCTAAAAGTGACTCTTACAACATAACACTTGATTTATCCGATTGGTAATCGTTTTGATATTATTTACGAAAATTTACACGTAATCTCGAAATATCGTCTGTTTTAATCTAAAGAGCTTATGATTTTATTTCACAAAAAACACCTAACAAAGATGAATTTAATTTTTTACTTATTTATTATAACAAATCTTCAAAAATCATGACGTGGGATTGATGTGTGACAATCCCAGAGCCAGTTAACGCAAACAATCAATAATTAAGAACAATAAGCAACCATAAGATACACACAGAAAAAAAAAAAGCAATCATGGACAAGCAATAGAAAGCCAATTGAGATGTAAACAATCATAAACCTAACAACAGACCCAGAAACACTAACCTAAACGGCTAAACCTAGAGAAAACAATTCAACAGGAAAAAGCTCAAATTGACAATCACAATCAAACACAATAAGAGAATCAACAAGCACAATAGTCCTGTAATCAATTTGGCAAACAGAGAGCTATATCAAGAGTTAATATGCAGTAATTCTTTGGAAGGTTTAGGTTTGAAGTATTTGGGAGTTGTTGGCACTTCTTTTCGAGGTTTTAAAATAGAAGAAGAAACCCTTGAGTGGTTGAATGGTAGAAAACTATGATGTTATAGGGTAGGAGTTTGGATTTCTTCAATCTAAGCTTTGGGTTTTCTTCAAAGTTTTGGACCATGGTAGGTAGAGGAAGAACTAAGGAGGTGTTTTCAACAGTGTAGTAGGTGGTCGACAAATGGAGATAGGCAGCAAATGAAGTGGATGATAGTGGCTTTTGGGTAAGGACAGTGGCTGTCTGTTGAAGGTTGAGAATTTTGAGAGAGAAGCTGTCGAGTAGAAAGAAGAAAAAGAAAATGATGAGAGAAGAAAAGGAAAGAGAAAGAAAGAGACGGCTACACATGATGGAGGACTTGATGTTAGTTTGTTGTTAAAAATTGGGTTTAATTGTCGGTTTCTGAGTTTTGTAATTTTTTGGTTGAGTTTTGAAGAGAGATGTTGGAGTATTTGAAGCTAGAGAGAAAAGCAAATTTGGTTTTTAAACATTAATAAAACGATGCCATTTTGGGTCACAAGAGGATAGAGACCTAGACCAAGACCAGCATGATGAGCTGACCGAGATCCAATATATTTGTAAGGGTTTTTTCTTGTATCTTTATTCTATTTTTATTTATTTATTGATTTTATTTTTTCATTTAATTTTGTTATTTTAATTCCTTTTAATTTTCATTTAACTTTGATTTAATTTAAAAAATAAAAAAAGAAAAGAAAAATTTTGATTTTGTAAAATTTGAAAATTATAAATATGTTTGTAAATAAATAAAACAAAAAGAAAATAAATTGTTTTTCATAAAATATTTATTAGGTTTAATGATAAAATCTCTTCAAGTGAATAACGAGTTTATTTTGAATACTATTGAAATAATAAATTTTTTTTTGGTGACAACCTAATTTTTTTTAATATTTAAATATCAAAATTAATAAAAATTGGGAATAAAAATCATTTTAATTAAGGTTTAGACAAGATAAGATAAAACTAATTTGATACCAATTTTAGATATTGTGAAGATGCTAAAATTTTTCTATACGTAATTCACTATTGAACTTAATTTTAAAATTATAAATTAAAATTTATTCATTTAGGGACTTTCTGTCAAGTTTATAATAATTTTAAAAAAGATAAATTTACTTAAATCGTCAATTATATTTAGATAAAAAATATTGATGACAACTCAAATTGTTTTGTATCTAATGATCATATTTTCGAATTTAAATGTTATGATAACTCATATTAACCTTAGGCAAATAAAACTCGAAGAAAAATGGCATTGGTTGATACTCCTTTCCTCAATTTTTTGTAATATTCGCTCCTGTGATCTAACGCATGTTTCTGAGTTTTTGTCTTAAATTAACATCTAGTTTTATAAATCAAAGTGCAGGTATCGATTTCCTGTTCATTCGCATATAATTATATTATAGTTTCGATAATTTGCATTATCGAAAAATCAAATTAAAAAAAGGAAGGAATTAGAAAGAAATGAGAAAGCAAGACCATTTTCTTTTCCTTTACATCTCGAATTGTGATGGGTCAAATACTGTCAAAACTTAATGAAATAAGAATATTTCATGATTTTAAAACCACCTAATTAAGGATATAAGCAAGGAAGCATATGGCAACTTTAAACGATCATTCATATTGGGGCTTAAGCAATCCTTTGTTGTTGTTGTTGCACAATCAACAAAGAATAATTGCCACCAAAATCTGCGGATGAAAGTAGGTCTCCAATAATTCCAATCTCTTGAAATTCACTCCATTCTTGGAGACCCGATGTTTGGGGATCTTCACTCTTGTATCGTCTTCCCACAATGATAAGCTGGTAGTCATCCACAATGGATTGAAGAAACGTAGAAGTTTCAGGTCCATCATTTACCTGCTCCTCGACGTATCTCACGCATACACTTTCCTTAATCTCCCTCAACATCTCATCATCAAACATTCTGTCAGTCTCAGCTAGGATGGCGCCTAAACTGTTTGTGGCTCTAAGATGAATTACAGTTAGGCTAACACTTTTGTCGTGGGAAAGGCGTTTGGCTAATGCTAGCGCCTCCCTATCATCTTTACCACCCAAAAAGATCACAGCAATGTTGTATGATGAAGAGTCTGATGAAACTTTAGAATTGAAACGTTTTAGATGGCGGCGGCCTTCAACAAGGATTCCTACTGAGCAAGGCGCCCTTTCCAGGATGCTGCAATTTAGGCTCCTTACAGTTTGGTCTTCTGATTCAATGCTTCCGTCAATGTACCATCTCCGGTGAAATGGAAGTATTATAAAGGATGTGAACTTGTCCATGGCGAGGTTGCATATATCCTCGTACATCAAATTTGGTGGAGAAACTGCGGTGAAAACATTCACTGTTACAGCTTCCCAGTTGTCCCGCTCAAACTGATTAAAAGCAAGAACCACGTTCTCAGAGTATGATATTTTGGACAGGGTTTTCGTGTGCTTTTGATGAGTAACGAAAAGTGGTGTGGCTCGCCCGCTAAGCTTAACAAGGTGAAGGACATCAAGAGTAATGGGGCTTTCTCTGGTTGGACAGGAGGCATTAAACATGTTAATGATAGAATTGACATTACCCGGTACATGAATGCAACCAATCACTCGCAACTCCTCATTGAGCTTGGAATGCATGATGCTCCGTTTCTGGTAGCATACATACTTCCTTGATGGATCGTAGAGGCTTTTCACAAATATTGGCACAATGCTTGCTACCAAAATGATGAAAATAGACATGAAAGCAAATATATCCTCAGATATACCCTGAATTTGTTTAAGTGAATGAAAAAAAAAAAGCATTAGATACCTTCTTTTGTGTGCATTATTAATTTATCGGAGTAATAGATTATGAAATAGGATAATGTCATGAATGGCTCTTAAATTATAGTAAAATATTTAATTTGATACTTAAACTTTAAATTTCTCTAAATACATGAATTATAAATCTATTAACTAATGTAACGTTCAAAAAATTGTTAGTCAAGCACGTATCATCGTTTGAAATTAACAATGTTGAGGATGAGTATTATATTAATTAACAGATTTATAATTCAAACATCAAATTAGATATTTTTAAAGTTCAAATATTATATTGAATATTTTACTATAATTTAAAAGTTATTTGTAATATTAACCTGAAATTAATTATCTAATGAATCAATATGTTTGATACTTCAGATATTCAGAAATTGAAAAAAATGTTTGTTTGGAAACAGGAGATGGAATACATACCCGATTGTCATTCAAGATGCTATAGGAACCCATCTCAACGATACCTTTGGTTATCATTATAAAAGCAAGTGCCAAAGAATCCCTTGTGGGCATGTTAAATAACAAGGGCAGCACCAGAGAGACCCCAAATTTGACAATAAGTGTTACAACTGCAGCAATTGCTTGGTGTCTTGCATATAGGTTGCTCTTTTTGAGGTAAGACAAATCAATCCTCATGCCACATGTAGTAGCAAACAAAGGCAAAAACAACCCTGAAATAATAGGGTCCAACTTTTCGACCAAAGCAGATCCCAATGGGGGTCCGTCTGGCACAGCCAAACCTAGAATAAATGGGCCTAGGAGAAGGAATATATGAAATAATTCCGTAATCCTAGGTGACATCATGAACACCAAAATGACGCAATAAAAGAATACATCTTTTATCTGGCCAGCCGGAGGCGTGCGCCTCACAATCCATTTCATCAGAGGTCGCAGCACAAATACCACCACTAAAACAAAGACTATAGCCAGTCCACAATCCACCAAAACCACTTCTATTCCTTTTTCAAGCCCTATCTTCACCCATTGGCTAATATTCATTAGCACCAATGACACGATGTCACCAATAAGTGCTGCTGATAGTCCTAGCCTGCCAAGTTCCGAATTCAGGATTTTCAGCTCACTGAGAAGACAATGTATGACTGGAAATGAAGTACCGGAATATGTTACTGCAAGAAAGAAAGTTTTGTTTTTAAACAATTCATCTTCTGCGTGAAGGGTCTTAACCGTCATCAAACAAAATATTAAAGGCACCACCACTGTTAGAAAACCAATACATAAGGCCTTCCTTCCAGACTTGTATGCCATGCTCACGTCCATCCTCACCCCACTCAAAAATAAAAAGAATACATATCCCAAGGATGCCAGAGTACCCAGAACCACAATACTGTCCTCTGATATTGTAATCAACGAATGTTGCTTGAAAACCATAGGGCCCAATATTATCCCTGCCTGCATTAACAAAATGTTGACATCCCTTTATCAGGAGAATGATGAACCAATAAAAATGCAAAAGAAAAGAAAAAAAGAGGGAGTAATCGTATGAGAGCATGCGCATACAAGAATCTGGGAGACGAACATTGGCAGTCCCAGATATTTCAGCAGACTATGAATTGTTTGAGTGAGAACAAAGGTGATAACCATCTGGAGATGAAGTCTTGGCGAAGAAAAGTCCATGAGCATTTCTGCATTTTCTTTGTGGTCGAGAAATGCAGACCAGCCTGGAGAGCTAACTTTGGGAGGAAATTTAAGACAGATCTGTTCCGGTCTTTTTGAACCATCCATGCCGGTGGTGTACAAGTTTGAATTATTAAATGCCATCCTATCCTGGCGACCAAGATATTGAAGGGAGTGGAAACGAAAGAGATAGAGAGGAGATTGAATTGAAGGAGAAAGGGAATCGAAACCATTGCTTATATCAAGTTTCTTGTTTTTTTTTCAGTTTTATTATTCCTGGTTTCAAATCACGTCGACTAGCACTTGGCCTAACAAGTTCTTGTTATTTCAAACAATCTATGACAAACTGAGATTAATCTTATCACTTAGACCATTGATGTTCACTATTATAGTTAATTCCCAATGGTTAGTCCTTTTTTTTCAACTCGTTTGCTCCAACTAAATTGTCTTGCTTTGACGTAGCAAAATTTTTATTAGTCAATTATCCTATTGATAAAAGTTTTTTAACAATAATTATCCATATCAAGCCAGATTGTTATTAATCAAAACAAACTAACAAGTAACTCTAATTTATACGAGTTACTATTATAAATATTATATTCAAGTGAAAGTCACCATTGATGACATTAATCTGTTTATTAACTGAAATTAAACTTAAAAGTTCAGTTTTAACTAATTATTTATCAGAATGACTTACCAAATAATGTTTAGAGGAAGCTGTCGAATTCGTGAGGCAAGGCGAACCTTTTTTTTAACCCCACAGATAGAGATTCTGTTGTGATTGAACTACTGCAAGTTAAGCCTTTTTTTATTAATCCAATTATTGATGTTCTGTTAAATTGCTTTATATAGATGTCCTGCAGCCACTAAGGGGCTCAATTAGAGGGAGGTGAACATGCCGAGTTTTAGAGCCCATGCAGATTCCAAATAGCAAAACATAGATTGAATGCAAAGATTGACAACTGAAAAAAAAAAAAATGGAACCTCAAGAATGAAGAATGAAAAAAATGCAAAGTCTAGATTCTTGTTAAACTGATAACTTATTCCAAATCTGCGTAAATACAAGCCAAAATTTCCCCTGCATCTTGTGTAAATACAAGCAATCTCTGTATCGTTTATATACCGTATTTTAAGACTAACAAGAAATAACTAGATACAATTTTGTCAATGTCCATTGCCCACCTACTCAACACAGTATCATTTGCATTTACAAACCAAGCCTCTTTGGTCTTTAGGTAAGTGGAAGAGCCCTACCGCAATCCAGGTAGTGAAACTTGCTGCTTCTCCTTCACCCTCTTCTGTCTCTCCTATTCCTTGCTTTCTCTCTTTGCCTTTGCTTGCATTTTCCACAAATTTTCTTTTTCCTCCTCCATGGAAAATTTCTCTTCCTTCTGTTTTTTTCTTATGAGCAAACAATGTTCTGTTCGTCTCCTTCAAAGAAAAGAACATCGGGCCTATTCACCCAGCCGCTGTGGATCCACAGCTTCCAAAGGAAATCCCAAATTATTTTCAGTAGATCATGGCATGTGCGCACGTCATACAGGAAAAGAAAAAAAAAGGGAAGAGATACTGTGAAACATCTGATACTATATGCCTTGGCACGTATGCTGAGTTTCGGCACTAGATGGTGTTTTTTGGATGGAGAATATAAATAATATCCTACAGTTCATAGATTGGTGTAATAAATTTAACAATAAACAATTTACTCTACTAATCAACTATAGTCCTGAATTTCTTACTGCATGATTCATTATCCTTAGTTTAATATTTACATTCAGTATCATTAATAAGTTTATAGTTACAGTTATTATGTGGTTGGATGTTGGAAGATTTATTGATTAAAGTTACAGTTATTCTATCGGCTTTAGGATTTTACAGCATACTTGGTCACAAAGAATTCAGGCAAGTCTCTCTAAAGTATAATATTATGTACTTTGAGTTCACATGCAGTTAAGGATTGCTTATTTTATTTACCTTCTGTTCTGCTATCTTCTAATCATATGTTAACTGTAGGGTTTTCCTCCCTGTGTTTCCCATAAGTTTTATATTCTCTGGATACTCAGTACCAGCACTTGAAGAACGTGGTTCTCAAAATGGTGAACGGAAAAAATCTTCATGCGTTTAAAGCAAATGGCCTTCATAAAAGCAACTTGCTATTGATTACCTTGTAAATATTCCAATGGCTCTCTACCTGAGTTTGGTTCATCAGCTGTATTGATTACCTTGCCAATGCAAACAAAGTGCTTAACTTGTGCCTCTTTATTACAATAGCTTAATTTGCTTGATCATTTCCTTCCTCTCTGTATTTTTTTAACATTGGCTTTATTAGTTAAACTAAATTTCTCTCATTGTTATCCCTTTTATTTTTTCATTATTGCCCTAACCATGAAGTAATTGAAACAAAAAAGATCCTTCAATATGTTGTTTTGTTGGACATTCTGTTTTCTCTTTCACTTGATGCGCAAATCCCAAACTTGCAAGGCAGAGAGGATCTGAGGATGTAATGAACTATATATATGTCTAAAGAAGCTGTGAAAGATAAAAGTGAAAAGTATCATTTTCCTAATGCCCTGCCATGCAACGCCCTATTATTCCACTCTGCATTGTATTGTTTGATTCAAAGGAGAAGCAATTGAGAAAATTTCTAGTTTCACATTCTTTTAGAGAGTTACATGCTAATACTGGTTTGTTTTATCTATTTATCAAGCCTTTCTTGTTGATGCTGCTTGTGGTCCTTGCAATAAAGCAATTGCTTCTTTATAACTGTAGGTTAGAAGGTTTTTCCATGCTCACTTCAAGGTGGACCATGATCTTCAAGCATCAGTTGTATCCGCTATGACTGGCATGTAAAAGTTGTTTCGGACACAACCAGTTTTGTAATCTAGCCTTGATCTTTCTGGACATTGTTTTCTTTTCTCATTTTGTTTTCAAATGATGTAATTCATTGATTTTCCTTTAGAAACTACAAAAAAAAAAAAAAAAGAATCCCAACTTGAGAAATAAACTTCGAGGCATGGTTATAAAATACAGCTGATCGTACACTACTATGCTCTAAATGTATGACAGTCCTTAAGAACAAGTCATGTTTTTTGTATCTCAATTACATGCTTATGTTGTCAGCAGTGAAGAGTTTTGCTTGTTAATTAAGAACCAAACATTTAGAAAGGAAAAAACAATAATTACTCACATTAATGTAACCTTTATTTATTTCAAAGATAATCTGATCTTAAACAGATTTGGATCATCAATGAGTTATGGGCTAGACTAAGACTGACTCGGATCATCGCCAAATCCAGAGATCATTGGCAGATGGCAGATGCGTTAGAGAAATGGACTAAGAGCATTCAACACGGAAAACGTGCAGGACCATGTTTATGGTCTTGAGTAACTTTCCGGCAACCACCTCGGGAATGATCAAAGTTGAATTCAATTGGGAATGTGAAGGGAGGGCGGGGGAGAAATTTTCCGAGATGGTTCATGGAGTTGGATTTATGGTTGTTTACTTCATTGAGTTTGTGGTGGATGAGTTGCTGAACTTGATTCTTGAAACTTATTATGAGACTGTAGCAGGATTGGTTTAGTATCGTCGTTGCAGTTTAAAAAAGTTTAGTTTGAATAAAATGTATTTTAAAATTTGATTAGAAAAATATAATTTAAAGTTATATTTGGTTAAAAAAATGATGATAGAATTGGATGATAATTATTTTATATTATATTTGATTTGTATTTAAAAAAATGTATTGAATTACAAAGAGGATTGAATATAATCTTAATATAGGATGATTTAATCTGCTTCAAGTGAAAAAAATTATTTTTAATCAATAAGATTAAACTTATATCTCTTATTATATCTTTAAAAATTATATTAATAATTTAAATTATATAAACTTTGAGGAATAATAATTTTCACTGATAAATAAATTATTTTATTCTAATATTTATACACATTAAACACAAGAGATGTTGATATTATTTAATCTATTTCTGTACATAATATTATTTTATCTTATCTTATCATAATCTTATTACCAAACACATTATGTAGTATTAGTTATGTAGTATTATTTTGAAAAAAAAAATTATTAATGTATTGAAATATTTTTTAAAAAATGTATAAAATAGTATAAGTTTAATGTTATAAAGATAAAAAAATTTTTTTTTGAACCACAAATGTGAGCTTTTGCTTTTAGTTTGCAAAAACATACCTTTTTACAGTAAAGCTCAATTTTTTTTTATCTTGTTTGGTGTTGAGATTGTGGTGGAAATATATATATATATATTTTAACTCAGAACAATTTTATACCTCATTTCTAAAAGGAATCTCAATAGATTTGCTTGCATCTCCAAGCAACATTGATACTTGCAGCAATCCTACTATAAAATAGTATCCAAAAGGATTTTCTTTTTAATGCATTGATTGTTATATTTAGTACAAACTAGAACCCAAAAAATTCCATAACTAATAATTCACCAACAAAAAATAATGCTTTATTTCTTGCTTTTGTTTAGTTTAGTTTTTCCTTTTGGACAGAGAACACGACAAGGAAATTGTTGAAAAATCCTCTAGTGAAAACAGTGTATTCTTTCTTTTGCACTCGTCTCAACATGACTCTCAAGCATATCCATTAGAGGAGTTGTATTTTCAGATCAGGTACACTGGTTTTGTATCAATATATCTATATATATATATAATTTTTTTGAGATTATGATAATAATGATAAATATTAATAATTTAATTTAATTTTTGGTATAATATACGTAAATTTTGATAGCTTTTTTTTAATAATTTTGATTTTGATATTATTTGATATGTTTTGGTAACTTTTGTTAAAAGATTGAGAATTTTTTATAAAATTTTGATAACTTCTAATATAATTTTGGTAACTTTTGGTATTAATTTAGTAATTAATGATATAAATTTTTTAACCAGTGATACAATTTTGATAATTTTTTTTATAAAATTTTGATGGCCTCTTAGTGTAATTTTACTAGCCTTTCATATAATTTTAGTAACTTATAATATATTTTTTATAATTATTGATAAAATCTATACCATTATATATCTAACAATAGATCCCAGCAGCAAAGCACATGTCTTATAAAAATAATTTTTTTTTTTATATAATAACATTGTTGCTTCATTG